TTTTGTTATTTATTTTTCTATCGATATTTTCGGAACTTATCGATATTGTTATCGATTTTGTTATCGACACTTTAATCGATTTTGTTATCGATTTTATTATAGATTATTTATCGATATTTTTATCGATTTTGATATCGATATTTTTATCGGTTTGGTTATCGATATTTTTATCGTTTTTGCTATCGATATTATAATCGACTTTGTTACCGATATTTTTATCGATTTTGTTGTCGATATTTTTATCGATATTTTTATTGGTTTTGTTACCAATATTTTTATCGGTTTTTCTATTGATATTGTTATCGCTTTTGTTATCGATATTTTTATGGGTTTTGTTATCGATATTTTTATCGATATTATTATCGCTTTTGATATCGATATTTTTATCGATTTTGTTATCGATTTTGTTATCGATTATTTATCGAGTTTGTTATCGATATTTTCATAGATTTTTTTATTGATATTTTTATCGATTGGTTTATCGATATTTTATATCGATTTTGTTATCGATATTTTTTTAGGTTTAGTTGCCGATTTTTTTTATCGATTTTGTCACCGATAGTTTTATCGGTTTTGTTATCGATATTTTTATCAATTTTGTTATCGAAATTTGTATCGATATTGTTACTGATTTTGTTATCGATATTCTCGATTTTTTTATCGATTTTAAATTTTTTTTCCGTCTGGTTATCGATTTTGCTATCAATTTTTTTATCGATTTTTTATTGATTTTGTTATCGATATTTTTATCGATTTTGCTTTCGATATTATTACCGATCTTGCTATCGATTTTGTTGTCGATATTTATATCGATTTTGTCATCGATATTGTTATCGGTTTTATTATCGATATTTTTATCGATTTTGCTATCGATATTGTTATCGCTTTTTATATTTTGCGTTTAACAGCATTCGAACCCGAGTCTTGCCGAAAGTTAACAAATAGTAACAAGTATCTCTGCGCCCTTAGCTACAACCACAACATGTAAATGTGTTTTCAAATGTTCAGTTTGAATTAAATTTCTATATTTAAATATCTTTTCTGTTCAAAATTTTAAATCTTTAAATCTCAGTAAGCTGTAGAAAAAAACAATGGTATAAAATAAAAATAAAAATAGGGCTTTCGCTTATATTCTCATTGAGTTCTTTTCACTTAGAAGTATGTAAATTTGTAAAATTTTGGAAAAACCCTTTTTTTCTTAGTGTGTGATTTCGTTTTTGACTTGGATATGCTATTAACCATACCACGTATTCTACGTTTAAATATAGCGGCTGTATCTCCGATACAGCCTGCAGACCAAGACGAAGGCGCTGGACTGTTCCTTTTTTTTTCGAAACTCTGTTTTTTCTGTCGGAAACAACACATACTACACGCCGTTCATTGTACTGTTTTCGTGTTCCCTTTTAATCTGTTTTAAATCTTCACGATCTACGAATAAATCAGAGCAGATAACTGGGTGTTAGAGGGCTTAGGTATTTGTCTATTCATATATCACTATCAAAAACCTTATCCTTGCAAAGGAATTAAAGTGTTCCGTCGCCTCAGCCTTTTCAGGGCAGGAAGAACAAATGAGATTGTCGTGTATGTCGATCACATTCAGGTTTTTTTGCCATGAGAAGTGGCCAGTCTGCAATCTCACAACTTGTCAATGTTGTAGTATGCATTCAGGAAAAGAAAGGATAGCGTGTTATTCTATAGCATTGAAAAGGTATTAACGTCTATATGGATACCCGCTTCCAGCATTAAGGTATTAAGTGACGACAGGCTTAGCAGTGCATTCAAAGCAGCTCTAGGTGCCGTAATTAAAGTTTGGTAAGCACATTTTCCACGGTATGGATTGAGACTCTTATCCACTATACCAGAGATGTATTGCTGATAATCAGCCTCATTGCATAAGCCGTAAATTAGGCTAAACTGTACGACTCGATAACATTGGCATTGTCTACTGTCGTGCTGAGATAAAAAATCGTCGAAAACTATGCAGTGCTGCCAAGTTTTTCCGTTTTAATACACTCGTCGAGTCGAAAATTTAGGCAATGATATGAAATTTTCGATACGATTCGACTCTCGAAAAACGACTTGACGGCTGAATGAGTCTTTCAGCTTAGTAGTTTGGAATTTTTTAAAAACGTTCACCAACCTAGAGGTAGGACACAAGGTATAAATACCACTAAAGTATTATTAGGCATTTTCGATGAACGTATTAGCGTCTTGTGCTCCCTTTTTGTGCAGCGAGAGCAGTCCCAGTAAACCTCAGCATTTGTTTTGAGGACCCGGTTTAAAAATTACCACGGATCAATCCGCAACTTCTGCAGCTCCTAATTCGACCAGCAGACAGGAGTGCATCTAAGGAGTAGACGACGCCTTATCCAAACTTGCACCAGAGATAGTCGGTACATTAACCACCACTTCAAACAATGCCCTGGGTTGTAAACATTTTAAGCTCCTCCCGAAAACACAGCGTCGGTTTTTCTCAAAATTTGCATTGCCGCAAACCATAGGCAGGGGAAACTTTCCATTATGGCCGTTCGTTAAAGGTGCGGTGGGCGAAGGGGGAGTGGGCGTGGCACCTCCAACCGACCATTTTGGAGAGGGCATGAACCGCCATTGACAAAAATGCAACCCCCGACCACCTAGGCTCCCTATGGTTCCCTACGGACCCCTTAGAAAAATGGCCAAAAATCGCAATTTTCCCTTGCGTCCACAGTATTTTTGCGTGGAATTCCTTTCTGCGTAGGCGGCCTTCGGCCGCGCTTAGGGATTATAACCCTTACTACGTAGAACTCTCCTTTCTGTATGACCTAACTGGGGCTACCGCCCCAGTGATGTAACCTTGTGAAAGGATGAGGTAACTAGAATTCCCTTTCTGTGTGGTAAACCGGGGGCTGCCGCCCCAGTGATGTCTATTTTGGTTACTGGGTGTTTTATAAAAATGTGTATATAAAAATGTATTGTGCAAATGAATATTTAACATTTTTCAAGCGAATAAACGCAAATGAAAGTTGTGATTTTTGTCAATTTTTCTAAGGGGTCTCTAGGGAACCGAGGTGGTCGGGGGTTGCATTTTTGTCAATGGCGGTTCATTCCCTCTCCAAAAAGGTGGGTTAGAGGTGCCACGCCTACTTACCTTTCGCCCACCGCCCCTTTAACGAACGGCCATAAAGGAAAGCCAACCCCATAGGCATTTTCGCGAAATTGAAATTGAATATACTTGTGGTCTGACACCTCCTAAGTATTTCACTCAAAATTTATTTTACGAGTTTCGATCTTTCCAGTTTTATTTCAAGGAATCAGTTTCAAAAAGTCATATAAAATAAAAAATATATCTCCGGGGTCTTCCGAACATTGTCTTGTTCATTTGTAGCCAAATTATTAAAATTATTGTTCCATTGAGAAATCACAATTTTCCTTCATTTTCAGTTGACTATGTGCTCGTACACAATTTCTCAAATGCATTCTATATGGTCTTGGCTGTTACTGTTTGGGTGAAGTCTTTGATTAATTTAGTAGTCGCTTCCATGCTCATGGATGGTATAAGAAAGGTAAGTGAAAATCAAAAATATTATTAATTTATTTTTGTTAATATTTTTCTCCAATACTCTCGAAATCAGCAACGTCTTGTTTGCATTGCTCCCTGGCTTATAAACACCAGCATTTCGATGGCTATTGAGATAGCGGTTTTCATTTTCATGGAAATCAAAATGAATGAATTCGAAGAAGAAATTGCATTGGATCGACGCATTGTGCACAGTGTCATTTTTGGTGTATTTATGGGTAAGTCACAAAGAAGGCGAAATGAAAGCATTTAAAATCTTTTTTTATTTAAATTTTATTTCTTTTCCCCCATATAAATGACGCAGTTTTCAATGCGCTTTCGGTGTTCGGAATTTTTGCATTGTACAAAATGCTCAAGGCCACCGCCAACGAGAATCGTACGCTACAGGAGAGTATTGTGGAAGCAGCTGGACTCTATCAGCATGTTAAAGTTTAAGCATACTTATGTATGTAAATTTTGCCGCAATGGAGAGGCACCTTATCGTAAACAGATTGCAGCATTTAGTGGCATAGCAAAACAGTAATTGGGTCATTGGCGTGATGTTGTTGAAAAATGCATTTATTGATTAAAAAGAAAATGTAAAAATCTTTAAAAATTCTCAAAGTGAATAAATAAAAGTGGTATTATGAGATAAAGTCAATGTAAATAAAGTTAACGTAAAGTGAGGAGAAACAAGTAAGAAAGTCTAAGTTCGGGCGGAGCCGAACATTTAATACCCGGCGCAAGTATTAGATATATGTTTTTCACCTTTCCTAAAGCTACCGCTACATAGTAAATCGGGGTGTATCCACTTTGAGTAAATTAGCGTATTGAAGTTTCAAGCATTTCTGAAATTTACTGTTATATGAAAAGCGGCCGTAATTTTAGTTCGATTTCAATAATTTTCAACGTTTTGCTTCTATGTGGCAAGCACAATAACCACACCGAGTTTGGTACGAATTGGTAGAACGGTTACCGAGATACATAAATGTGATCATAAGTGGGCGGTGCCACGCCCATTTTTCAAAATTTTATACTAAACGTATTTCTTGGTAAAGAATTGTTGCAAGCGTCAATTTTGAATAAGTTTGCTTCAATAATTACTGATTTATCGAAGATTTCGTATTTCTCTAAATTACCGTTATATGGGATGTGGGCGTGGTTATTATCCACGGCCATTTCGTGTGTTATACCGAGGTTAACAACTGTGCCAAGTTTGAAAGAAATTGGTGCAGCGGTTACCAAGATAAACACATGTAACCATAAGTGGGCGTGGCTACGCCCATTTTCCAAAAATTTATAATATTCTTATTTTTTGTCTAAAACTTATTGTAAATATCAATTTTGAGTGAATAATCTTCAGTAATTACTAAAATATCGCAGTTTTCGTATTTCTGAAAATTACCGTTATATGGGAGGTAGGCGTGGTTATTGTCCGATTTTGCCCATTTTCAATATAATCCGTCCTACGCCAGAAATCAGTGCTCGTACCAAGTAGTAGCAAGATATCTCAATTTTTACTCGAGTTATCGTGTGCACAGACGGACGGACGGACAGACAGTCACCGCTTAATCGATTTCTCTTTTCATCCTGATCATTTATGTATACATTTGTCTATATCTATCTCGCTGTTACAAACAACCGTTATGTGAACAAAGTTATAATACCCTTGTGCACAAGTGCGCTCGGGTATAAAAAATATTCAGGAGCAGAGGGAAGTGATAATGTTTGAAGATTACTTTAGTAAGGTATTTTTGGCTGGCATAAATGCACAACTAAGTATGTACATCGCTATCTTAGAGTAAAAGGCTACTTGTTTTATTTGCTAAGTCCAAAAGAAGCACAGAAAATTCTCATTGTTTTAAACACTCAAAATGTTGCCTTCAAAAGTATTTCCAAATACTTGAAGAAAATGACTATGAGAATTTTTTTTCCTCTACTTTAAAATTTCTAAAAATGGACTTAGTAACTTTTCTCTAAAACCCAGTAGACCACACTAACTTTTATTCTCACTCATAAATGATTAAAAATCCTTTTTTGGCTCTTTTAAACATACTGCTATTGAACTCACCTCAAATACAACAACGAACGCAAGTCGACAAGCGAGTATAATATAAAACATACTAGTTAAATTATATTTACGATCTGAGGTAGGTGGTTCACGATAGTCTGCATAGCTGAAAATATTCAAATGCAAACATAAAACGCGTATTATAGAAAAACTACTATTCGAAAGAGCTTACAAAGTTTAGCATACTTACAAGCACGTTGTTATATTCGTGTTGTCACCAGCAAGGCTACGTAACGTCGCCGATTCGCTGATATTATATTCGGAAAGTGTGAAATCCAAATAACCATCAAGCGTGTGATCCTTGGATACTTGCGCGCGATATACCAGCCTTGGTATAAAGTCCGAAGTAAAGGCAATGATGAAGCCCTGTAAAAGTGGTTAGAGATGAGTAATAAAAACCTAAAGCAAATTTCATGCTCACTCACATTACTAATCACGCTCAGCTTTCCTATGCTGTCCAAGATGCGATACCAAACGCCAATATCACGCACACGCTGTGAAACTGGGCGCCTGTAGTTTGCCAGCAACTTTTTCGCATCCAAACGCATTTCGAAAATGTTATTGAGTAAAGCAAAAAACGGTGCCAAGGGGAAGGCGGCTACGAACAATGTAACAAAGCCATACTGTAGCACTATAAATGAGGGGTAAAAAAGATGTTGTGACTGTGGAAAAAACAAAATAACTGCCACACTTACCCATTTCCAAATACTCCGGAAACAAGCTGCGCGGACCCCAGTCCAGTAATTTCAAATCACGCAAATAGCGCTCCACTTTTTCCTTATTCACATCATGAGTCGTGCTGCTAAACAGACGTGAGAGACCCACTTGTATGGCCATAATTTTGCGCCATATCTTTGGCATTATCACTTCCAGTATGGAGTTAAAGGTTTGTTTGCCAATCATAATGATTGCCAGCTGAATGCAAAGTTCAGTCAAACAGCCGCCGGAAGAGCACTGTAAGGAGATAAAAATAAAATATAATTTGTTATTATACAAAGGGAAGGAAAGCGAAATCGAAGTGTCAAACGCGTACCTCTTCCTGTCGATAGTCAAATATCTTGTTATATTGCCCTGGATGTCCCACAAATTTTCCCTTGAAAAACGCTATATAAAATATGGAAGCATAATAGTTGACAAACTGTAACAAATAAATCTTTAGCGTCAGTGAGTCATCGAACTGGGTTTGCGTGCGCCACATTTCCAATTCAGTCAGGTACTCAGCGAGTTGTGTATACATCTGATAAGTAAAATGGGAATAACTTTGGTAACTTTTTTTAATATCCGGCATACTTACGTAGTTCAACACATAGAGCAGACACAAGTTGACGAAAGCCGCTGACGCTGTAGCCAACATAATTGCGCTCGATGTAGTCATTGTACTAGAACCCAGTTTAAGTGTCGCCAGCATAGACATGCGGTATACAACTACCGCTACAAGCGCCACAAAAGCCAAAAATATCAATAAAAATACAACTGAAACACTAAAAATGGTGGCAGGAAATTTCATGCGCCAAAATGGCACTGTGGGTTCCTTAATATTCGTTACATAGTCGACGCGCGTGCGCGTATTTTTTAACTGTTCCAAGCGTGTCAAGTACTCGGGACGTGGATGCTCTTCGTGTACATCGAAGCCAGTTAAATCCCAGCGATGCGTTATCTCAGCGGAATAACGTTTCCATAACTCTAAAAAGAGTGTAGCCCAAAAGGACATAAAGACGGCAAAGAACACAGTACTAGGATTATCAAAGAGGTAGGTAATTTTGGCATAAAAACATGTCTCCTTGAGGTACCAAAAATTGCACCAATCACATAGAGGACACATGGTAAGATTTTTAGTACGTTCGTTGGCACAAACATCTTGGCTGTAAGTGAATAGAATAAAAAAAAATTTTAATATAATTTGAGTGTTGTTTTTGTTTATGGTAAACATACACTGGCACATAATCTTTTAAAGTTATCAGTGAGTATACAAAGCAGATGACACCAATCAGCGAGGCAAGCAGCAGCATGTAAGTGTAGTAGCCCAACCAAGCGAAGTACAAACCTGTAAGGAGTAATAAAGGAATTTAGCTATGGTTTAATTCATAAGAAAAAGAGCCATTTTTAAATTGCTCAATTACCAATTTTTACGCCAAAGTACTCTTTGACATAGTCGAGCGGCTGATAGCGATACCATTTGTTGACGGAGGCCCAGTGAGTGTACAGTGCCTCACGCATAGTACCCTTCTCTGTGATTTCGCCCTAAAACATAAAGCAATAGATTTGAAATCGTACAGCTATTTTTTATGAAGTTAGCGCATTTTACAAAGTCTTAAAGTTTGTATGATTATAGAGGTTTCTAAGTGAAATCTTGAAATTTTTATGGAATAAAGAGAAATATTTTGAAATAACTATGTAAATCTTAAATTTTTCAAATCATCGTATTAAGTTTTCTTGTAGGAGTGGCATCGAACTGACACTGTATTGAAAATAAATTCCGAAAGTAGCATCTCATGGATTCAGCTAATGATGACGATGATATAACCAATTATACGCATCCTATTATAGCAATTAATCGAAAATAAAATCACAAAATTCTACTTACATCGTGCAACGGATAAGCTGCGCAATAAATATTTGATTCCACTAAACGATCAATGCCAAATGCACGCGGATCCTTACTGCGCTCCTCGAAATATTGGCGATCCAATATGAACTGAACTATACGTGAACGCACTGCATTGGTGAAGAAGCAACGATGATGGATGTCGAATCTGAAATCAAAAACATATTTATGTAAATCATGAACACTTTTCAACAAACAAGTATCGAAACTATTTAAAACTCACAAATATTCCTTATCACGACTATAGATGGCTGTGAAGCGATGGGCTCGACGCGGAAATATACCTTCATCCACAAATATGTGACGCAGGAAAAATTGTACAACACTTTTTAGGCTAGAAAACATGCTTCTGGTCGAGCGATTCACTGCAGACATGCCTGGTATCTAAAATGACAAGCGAAGATTTAGTTTATTGTTATTAATAAGCGCCAAAGATTAGTATAACGATTCTATATGGAAATAAAGCAGCAAAGGCCAAACACAGTTAAACGATATTGAAATATTCCAATGGGTATGTAAGAAATAAATAATTAAATAATTGCAACATTAAGTGCCTATGGCGTTTATAGTATACAGCTGAAATACAGATGACAACAGCAGAGCAGCCGGCAAAGTTTTCGCAACCGAATATTTACATGAACTAAAGCGCTAAAGTGAGCAGAAGCGAATGAGAGATTTGGAAGTAAATTGCCGATAGTTAGCAGCGTCTTGTTTCATTTTTTCATATTAATTAAATAAATGCAAATATTTTGTGTTGGCATGTTGTATGTAAGTTATTCAGACCTTTCGTGATAGATACTGCGCTGCATGATGCAAACGACTGTATTTGCTGTAAACTGTGGTACTACAAAGATCCTGCAATAGTAGTGCATTAAATAGAAATTAAATTTTGAGTGGAAAGACATACAAAGTAAATTTGTTGCAATGCTTAATAGCTAAGTAACAGGGGATGTAAATTAATGTTTAAAAAATGTATCTAATAGCGCCATTAAAAACTTATTTTAAGAAACATCTGTGGGGTTCTAATACATAGGCATACTACAAAATGGAATTTTTAGGGGTTTAAACTTTTTGTTTTTACCTACATAATAAGGAAAAACAAAGTCTACATAATATTGCTGAAAACGAAGAAAGAAAATTTATCATTTAATTTAGCAGTAATCAAGAAATTGAATGCAATTTCAACCTTTATCAGTTAAAATAGAAAATATGAAAAAATTTAAATCAATTCATTTTTAATCGGAAAGCGGATTTTTCATTTAAAAATTTTAAATAATTATGTACATACATATATGTATGTAAAATTAAATTTATAATAATAAATATTATGGAGTAATAATTTTTTTAGAACACAGTGTGAACTAAAAATTATATGTGTTATCCTTGAAGCTATCTTATCTTAATACGAATTATTAAATACGATCAATATAACTACATGCACCTAAATACATATGAACATATATTCTTAGACATGGAGAGTGATTACGCTGCCTCAAACGGAAAGTGAGTATAAGTAGTATTTGTACAGGGTCTGCGTGGATTTAGCATTTCGATGCTTTAGTTTTTTCTTTTTGTCCGGAAAAGATGTTAGGTTAGATGAAAAATAGTATTGTATTTTTTTCTAAATTATCTGCAAATGCAGCACTTTTCTTGTATACGAATATGAGTTCTATGTATGACTTTTTAACGCTCATATATTGTTTATAAACACTATAAAACAGTTTTATAGTTTTTAGGGCCTCAACGAAAGTGGGTGAACATTTCACAAATTAAGAAGCTCTTGCATGTGATTTAAGTATAAACTAATATCATACATACATAATTACATTATTGTCTTCCCACGCCAGCCTGTTCCACGTATCGGATCGATTCAGCTTTTCTCCGGCAATGTACTGTTGGTTTGGTAGTCTAGCCCTATTTAATCGGCGAACCCTTCCAATAGTTGTTCGTTATTGAAACAAAACCTCGATGTAAGATTGCTACGTACTCTTCTCATTCGGACTGGCATTGAGTCGAGCATCGAAACAGAAACTCATTTCTGCTGTTTTTGCCAGAGAATACTTACATCAGTGGTAAGAGCACCTTAAGGCCTGTAGCTTTACTTTCAGTGTGAGTAAGCTTTAATAAATCGCAAGATCCATCTCCATGCGCGATAACAGTGTGCCTATTTCATTCGGTAATCGCACCTCATCGGATCCGAAGTGAGCTTTAGCCGGCATTCACACTGCATACTTCGGTGGACAAGGTTAATCACCGAGTTATCAAAATACTTCAAACACTGACATAGGTTGAACGCATAATGGATCGGCGAACAAAGCGACGAGTATATCATCGAGCAAAGCGTCAATCACTAACGTATGTACGCTTTGCTCTTCACTATGTGCGCTCCATTGAAACAAAAATGTTTGAAATCGACGTTACAAGAAAAGTCCATAAAACCAAAAACCAAAATTTGTTTGTTGGAGCTAGACCGCAAAGTATTATTTATTTTTTTCGGCCGTTCATATTTGATTCAAGTTTTTTGAGGGTTGAATATAATGGTTATATAATGGCACAATTTTTCCCTCGTAGGCCATTATGTCAGCTTTCGAACCCATATTTGTCCATCGTACACAAAATTTTGCCTTATTATTGCCTTCTATCAGTATTTTTGCGAAGGGGGCAATGAGAAGGGAAAATTTTTCGATCGAAAAGAAAACGACATAACCATCTCTTCACATTCGCCATAAAACCCACTCAACTAACACTTCTCTCGCTTTTGTCCGGGCCCGCCGTAACAGCACGTTTGCTGCGCCCTTTCTTTGATAAAAAAATAAATAAAAAATAAAAATCTCACTATAGACCATGGTACAATAAAAACAGGTAGAAGCCAAATTGACATCAAACCTACAAAAGTCAAAGTTTTCGGGAGAGTAAAAATAAAAATGAGCGTGTGTAAGGAAAAATAAAAAATTCCATTTGACTGGTTGACGTTTTTAAGTAAATTTGAAGTTTAATTTTATTTATTTATTTTCTTTAGTTAAAATTTGTTAATTTGTTTGTTGTTTTCTGTCTTTGATTTATGAGTTGCAGTGTTTGTTGGAGGGACTTTCCGGCATAAGGGTCATAGGAACAGCACTTGGCATCAAACGTGCCTTTCCTGTACCTCCCGGTGCATTTATGAAATCTGCTGCTTTAAAATGTTTAACGCACAGCAAGGCATTTCGCTGCAGCTCTACGCCACAGCTGCTTTCCCAACGCTTCTTACGCTAAGGACATTGAGGCACGTTAAAAAATTAGTGGCCTCTGATTTATATTTAACACCACATAAAAACAAGGCTTCAGGTGCTGCATTTTTAACACATACACTAAGTATAAGCCGCACAACACTACAAAAATTCAAATGTTAATTAAAATTTGTTTTTAACGAATATTCAAAAAAAAAAACAAAAATCAAACGACATGACATTTAAAGCGTAACGAAATATAGGAAATAAAAGAAAACCAAGTTGAAGTTTAAAGGTTTGGTTCTCATGAGAGCAATGTCATTTTGGCTTCTACCTGTATTTATGTGCCTTGCTATAGACTCTAAAGACAAGAATCATTTTCAAAGTCAATTTAGTTATAAAAAAATTTAACAGGTGGAACAAAACTCCTTTGAAGTTTGACTGCCACGCATGGATACTAACGTTTTGGGCATTATTTGGTTGAGGTCCTAAAATGTATGTTTCGCAATCTTTTTAGTTCATTTGTAGCACTATTTTGGTAGTATGATGCTACCGTAACTGCTATTTTCCACACAACAACAACAAAGTAAAATAAAAAAAGACTATAATTACCTCCTTCATAGGCATACGTAGTTTTAAAATTTCTGCATAGCAACGCAACACATCCAATGGTGCATGTATCTATAAACAATTTCAAAATTAATAAAAATAAAGCACACTTAACTCAATGCTAGCCAGATTAAATTCGCATTCGCTTACCTTCACAAAATGTATCTGCTGCTGCTCCTTATAGTCCAACTCCATTTGCAGGCCATGCTCCAATAGATTGGCTTCAAATTTAAAACGCTTATGTGCGTTGAGCGATTCCTGTGCAGCATCCGGATCCACCTTGTAGGCAAGCACAAAATCAATCAAACGTACACCATCCGCAAAGAAAAGTGTTTCATTGTATTTGATTGGTGGGCAGCAGTCTTCTTCATTTACAAAATTACACTCTAAAATATTATTATCAGTCATTGGCGCTAAGGGTGTTGAGTACTTTGAGCTATTTTTGGCTGAATTGTTGCGTTGATGTCGGGATGCCTCTGCATCGAGTGTCAGACTCGTTGTGTGTTGAAGTTTTCTTTGAAAGAAGAGTGGAATCTGGTTAGTAATTGCGCTAAGTTGTTATATGCAATTATTTTTTCTATTTAATACATGAACTTTCACTGTTTACCTATCCAGTGCTGAGCGTGTAGTACTAAAATGTGAAGCACATCGCTTTGTTGAAACATATATTTTTCTCCATTTAACCACAGAACTTGCGATTTTCATTAACATATAAATGAAATATTTCGCACATGCTGTTTTAACTATTCACCGCCTTCTCCTCACAGCCAAGTTTATTCCCTATTTAGGAATTTTCGCTTGGTTTGTATGTGTGTTTGCCTACAATGGTATGCTTTTATCCCATTAAATAGTATAACATCCAGGGTGCGACGCCAGACACTAGCATACGTTTTGTTACCAATTTTAATATTCTCAGTGGAACCGCTGAGTTTCTCTCTAATATCTAACACGCACTCATTAAAATGTTTTTAAATACATGCTAGTCGTATATAGCATGTCCAGCACGCATATTATTTGGATAGCAGATATATAGCACACACATACAGTGATTCAAACAAGTGACCACGTGTAGATTTTTTTTAATATTCATAATGTTTTTCGAGTTAATTTTTTTTCTATAAAAGATATTGTCCAAGCTTTATTTAACCAAAACCGTATAAATCAGAGTTTCAAACTTTATACAAAATTTAAGAAAATTAAACAAATTTTCATCACAATTTCAACTTCAAAATCAGAGTCTCAAGAACATGTTGGAGCATGCAGCTTTATAGCCCATAAACTTTTGGTCTAATGAAGACCAAGTTTAAACCGGCTAAAAAATTGCGTTGGGTTTTGAGCAAAAATTAAGTTCGAAAAACATATATTTATAAGAAAATCAAAACGTGATCACTTGTTTGAGTCACTGTATGTATAGGTCAAAGCTTTTCAAGGGGCTGTTCATGGGAATGTTCTCAACAGGATTTCAGATACATATATGGTTATAAAAAAGAGCAAGGAATAACAGCTTAAGTCGAGTTAAGACTTTAGACTACATTTAAGTCCAAAATTAGATTACACGGTGTTATAAAATAAAAAAAAAATCCACGAACTTTTTTTAGTGATACGCTCAAATTTTTTAACTTTACCTTAAAAACCCGTTTTCGCCTGACTTCCGGCAACAAACAGTTTTTAGCTCGGTTACTTTTTAACCAATTTTAAGTTTTTATATGGCTTTAGAAGGAACAATATTTGTCCTTTTTGAAGAAATCACGAGTTTTATAAGCGCATTGTAAATATGTGGAAATTTTTGGAATAAATCTGAAATTTACGTCAACTTTTATTATTTTTCCCGTTTCTACATTTTTTCCAAAATTTCAAAAAAAAATTGTCTCTCTTAATCATTACTTCTAAAAGAATGTTTAAAGCCGAGTAAAACTAGGCATTAAAATCAATAAAAAGATTATGAAATTAATGAATTAATGAATTTTTTTAAAGAGAGAAATTTAAATTTCGAGCACCCCCCTGCCCCTACCTGGCTACGCCCATGTATCTCCGAATTGTTAATTTAATCACAAACTTGTCACTTGATTCAAAAACTGTATATTAAAAATGTATTTCCTGAAGAATGTCTAGAATCGATTTAAGTTGTTATACTGTATCGTCAAATGCATGGTTACAAAGTACGGTTTTATTCATTTATCTTAACACTCTCTTCCCTTAGATTGCCTGACCTACATAATTAATCGAGGGTAGTAAAGCGTATGTATGTATGTACGTAATCATCTCCTAAGGCACTTTCAATGCCTTCACAGCGAATGGCATTGAAATTTATTGAATGCAACAGGCGTTCATAGAAAACGTATTCGCCTGCTTACTAATACAATCACAAATACAGTTATACGAGTACATACATACATACATAGCTGGTTGTAGTGGGTGTATTTCTTAACTTTTAATATAACATTTAAAAAAATAGTCATAAAAACCTCGATAACGATAAATAACTATAACTGCATACATATAAACATATCGATATTGATCAGTATTTATAACATTTTTAACAATATGTAATATCAAAACCCGGAGGATGGTTTCGAGCGCAGAAGTGGAAAACTTTTGACTGTCATTCACCTGGGAGTGGCCAGAAGTGATTCTTGTGCGTACGGTTGAAATCGCAGCTCATAACGTCCGAATATTTATATCCACCTATCCGCTGGGTAGCAACCCCCCCTTTCCATTTGTAAGGGAGCTAAAGTGAGAAGGCGTAAAAATTCGCGTGCGCGGGGTTTGGGTCCAGCCACGTTAAAACTCCGCGCAATGAAAAAGTTCAGAAAGTCTCGAATGAGACTTTGAAGGCTTTTGTCTTCCCGATGGCCATCTGAACCTCACCGCTAGTGAAAGTAAGAGGCACCTTATTTTTAGCAGCTTGTACAGCCTTTTTCTCACTCCTTGTTTGGTGTTATTTGCCTTAGAATGAAATGTGAATTGTCGGCTTAAGTAACCCGCACATCGCTTCAGGTACGATGAGACGCGATCAGCAAATGAAATGTCGACACCACCATAAAACTTCGTCAGACAGGGACCTTGAAGGTGACCAAAACTTTCTCAGATCTGTTAAATAGCAGCTATCATATCAATATTCCGTGCGGACAAATAAAGATGGTTATCTCCTCGATCCTACTCTGGAGAGCGTTACGGTTCAGTTGGGGTATTGGTCGGGTTTCGGAGGTGAGAGGAAGTCTACCTTGTGGAGGTTTCTGGTTCAGGGTTGGAATCTAGTTCAGACGGAATCAGAAATATGTGAAGCAGCCCTACTGCAGGAGATTGTTTCATCGACGAGCAGTGATCAGAAAGGTTCTAAGGATCTAACCCTGTTCGTGTAATACCGGACTTATTACGGTACGTAGGACCGGCTGTATCATCGCCAGTCTACAGACTGCTTGTCATTTTTATGGGTTTATTGCAGATAGGAAAATTACAAAACGAAAACATCAGCTTTGAATGACGTAAAACAATCAATTCGATCGAAAATTGAGGCGATTCACACTCCAACTCTGTAGGCAGTGATGAACAATTCTGACGCCATCTGAATTCCAACATTTTTACTATCCATAAAAAAAATTAATTAGTAGTTTAAATTAATTAAAAAAATCCTTTACTATATTAAAAAAAGTACATATATGTACATGGGTATAGATCTGTGATGCCTGTGCCTGTGGGCGGAGCTCTTTAAAGCTCTCTGTGGATTTTATATTAGCGCGCATAGAATAGCTTTCTCTGGGCATCACTGGTATAGATCATTCCCTACTGGATAAATCTAACGGCAACTAATACACATATACCAGTCAACCAATACAAATGAACAATCCTGCGACAGCCGGTTCTACGTACCGGAATGACTCGGGTTTTACCCGACCAAGGGCTGTTGTTTCGGCGATCTAACCCCGTTTAGGTCGGCGAAGTATCTCAGAAGTTGTCCGTCCATAGAGCTACATTCACTACGTATTCTTCTACTCAGGGCTGGCATCGAGTCAAACCCAGGGCCAGAAACCTACACCTGCTGTGTATGCCGGAGACGATTACATCACAACTCCACCTCAGTCAAGTGTAATGCCTGCGAGGGGTGGAGTCACCTCAGAGTCTGCTCGGGACTACGGACACATCGACAGTGGACCACGTCGTACGTGGCCCCCTGTTGCTCAAACAGAGCAGTCTCCACGGCTAACCTCAGTCCGCCCGAGCAGCCTCACACAGTCACCACAACACAACAACATAATAACACCACAGACCATACCACAGCCACGACAGACCACATAACACACACAACCGCACCACCACCCACACGCCGCCGCCGACAACTCCTGGTTCCCCCTACAATCTGCACGGTATGTCAGACCAGGATATTCCGTAATGTGACATCAGTCAAGTGCAACACCTGCCTTGGCTGGTGCCACTTTAGGGCATGCTCAGGTCTGCGTACCACGCGTGATTGGACTGTGAACTTCGAGGGCCCGTGTTGCGCTGCTCAATTGCGACGCCTCCCGCCACCACCACAGGACGGCAATCATCACAGCAGCGCACACAGCCAACGGCGGTAAGAACACACACATCACACAGCACCGTCGAGATCGCGAGCGAGATAATGGTGGTGGCTTAGCGTTCATCACGCACCACACCGTGCAGTATCGTCTAATCGAAGCAGACATCGACCGCAGAGATCCTAGAATGTCAGGCCATCGCTATCCGGTCAGGCGATGTTGAGCTCGAAATATTTAACATATACATACCCCCTGTCACCTGCTGCCCGGCAGGATATCACCCTGATATAGGTGCGCTCCTCAGAGGTGAAAACCATATGGTAGTAGGTGACTTTAATGCGCACCACGATCTTTGGCACTCAAGCCTGTCAAACGATCGTAGGGGAACAGACTTGGCTGAGCAGATAGACGATTCGACATTCTGCACAATGAACGACGACGCACCCACCAGGATTATGGGTAACTGCAGTAGCTCGCCAGACATCACAATAGTCAGCGCTGGTCTGATAAACAGCATAACGTGGCGACCTATGCTGACTCTAGCATCAGACCACCTACCCATAGTCATCTCGATAGATAAACCAACCGACTTTGCCTCCGCCAAACACCGGACCTATATCAACTTTAAACTTTACTTCTAAAACTGATTGGAAAGGTTACGCGGAGTTTACCGAAAACACGTTCACAGCGCATACCGGCAGGATGTATATCGGACCCACGTCCAAACTTCCCTGCCGAAGCGGCTGTTCTAGCCGATGAGCGTGATAGCCTTCGTCAGGCCGATCCCGGAGATCCCCGTATCAGGGATCTCAACGCGGAGATTCGGCAACTAGTAAACGTACATAAGCGGAAGAAGTGAGAGGAGCATCTGAAGACCTGTAACTTCACCTCTGATGTGAGCAAGCTTTGGTCAACCGTGAGGTCACTGTCTAATCCGCCGAAGCACGACGACAGGGTCGAAATTTCCTTCGGCGACCATGCTTCGTCGGACCCGGAG